ACTTCCTATGTATAAAACAGCTTGCCAATGAGAAAGGGGGACGTCTCTAATATTTTATGGATGGTAACATGTATGGTTATAGAAATCTGCTATCAAAATAAATTGTAGCTTTCGTCCATGATCAACAATAGTCTTTAAATTAGAGATCCAAGAGTAATGGCTGATAAACACCGTATGTGGGAACAACATCATGGAAATGAGACTAGCCTTGACTATATCATACTTTACATTTGAGTTAAATACACTACAGGTGCCCTAACTTGTCTGGCATGGTCAGTTTGGTGCCTAAACTTGAAAAATACACAAAAGTTGTGTCGTAACTTGGCTGGGCGTTCAAATACGGTGCCTCTGGACATATGCCGCCGTATCGAGTGCCCGCGTGGCATTCCAGTTTGTCATTGGGCCACATGTCAGTGGTTGCCTACGCGCGTTGTGAGATATTCATGTTGTTTTTTATAGGAATGCCCCTGGATTTTAATTAATTCTCGTAAAAAATACCCCTTGATTTTAGTTAATACTCGCAAAAAATACCAGGAAACCAGCGTACAGGGAATTCAAACATGGGACATCCTTGTTGCCTGACAATCGAGCGGACCAGGCGGCCACGGTTTGGTTTATATAGATGATTGCATGTATAGCTCTGAATATGCTTTTACTGGAGTAGTTTTTATTTATTTATTCCACGTTACTATCTTGTCTTTCTTCGAGTGATGTTTATGTTTAGTTTTCATGATACATAAATTTTTCCATGTCAAAAAAATAAAATAATTATTAATATATAATTTTGTTTATTTGTATATCTATTCTATTTCCATTATAGTGTACTTTCAAGAGATAAACATGAACTTTTTCTAAAATTGATGTGGAATTAAAGAGTTGAACATATATTAAAAACATGGTGAGCATTTTTTAAAAGACACGTTCATGTTCATTTTTCATTTTCATATTATTTTAGAAAATGTTCGCCGTGCTTTTTGAAAATGTTAAATGCGTATTAAAAAATATTGTGTAATATTATTCTTAAATTTTTACAAACACGCTCATGTTAGTACATTTTTAGAATTTATTATTGTCACACAATAATATTTAATACACGTTGAACAGTTTTTAAAATGCAATATTGTCAATTTTTCAATAATTGTGTATTTTAGAAATAGAATGAAGATACACAATAATTGTTCGTCCTTATGATCCTCAATGAAGATGCATATATTTACACAATAATTTTTAATATACGTTCAATTTTTTATGTCCACATAAATTTTAGAAAAAATTAATGTTTATCTCTTCAATGAACACAATAATGAAAATAGAGTAAAGATATAAAATAAACAATAATTGCGTATTGATAATTATTTTATTTTTTCATATGGGAAAATTTATGTATCATGAAAATTAAACAGAAACTTCACTCAAAAAATATGTGCAAAGCGATACGCGGAATCGTCCATATAAGTTGCTAGCTAGCAGTTAAATGTAAATCAAAGTGTGGCCTCATGGCCCACTTGTTTGTTAGGCAACCAGGATGTCCGTGGTTTGAATTCCCTTCATGCCAGCTTGTGTTTATATTTTTGTGAGAATTAATTAAAGTACAAACGCGTTTCCGTAAAAAAAAAAAACTTGCGTCTAGCATGAGTAACGATGTTTTTCGATAATTAACTAAAGTCCAGAGGCATTTCTGTAAAAAAAAAACTACACGCACAGCTCACAACGCGCCCGCGGCCACTGACATGTGGCCTAACGACACACCGACATGCCACACGGGCACTTAATACGGCGGCATACGTCAAGATGCACCGTATTTGAATGCCTAGACAAGTTATGGCATCACTTTTGTGTATTTTTCAAGTTTAGGCACCAAACTAACCGCGCCGGGCAAGTTAGGGCACCTGTAGTGTATTTAACTCTTTACATTTGTTCACCTAATTTGTAGCTTGTTTGGATTTTTCATCCATAGATCTTGTCGACATGACAAAACAATGATATGTAGAAACAACATGAGAGGAAGTGACTTAATTTTAGCAGACTATATGTAGGCCCCAGATTGGCATTGCTTCTCAAATGATAGCAAATAATAATAATGTAAAAGATTAATCAATGCACAAAATAAATCGACATGAACTCAGCCGCACGAACCATTCCACCAAATATATATCCAATTAGGAGAGAATTTTTGTTTGTGACGGACGCCTACCTATGACGCATATGAGAACTAAATGTTTTGTAAGAGGCGGCGACCTGCTCACTCACCAGTGCAACAGAGATTAGAGATTAGAGAACAGTTGCTGAGGCCGGGAGGAAATAAAAGGGGAAGCCAAGCAGCAGTGTAAGGATCTTGACTGTCCATAGCTTGCACGAATGTTTGATAGTCACAAAAGAAGTTTGGTTCGTGAACTCCCAGTGTAGGGCCAACTGAAGCCACCAATCTCGTTGTTGAGCTTGAGCCTGTAATCGTGAATCTGCAACAACAAAAAAATGCATGACGATCTCCTTTCCAATGCATGAATACTCCAATGCCTGTCTTGGATTTCTGACCAGGAATGACGTGAGAAATTGTACTAGGAGCGTTCTAGGCTGCATCAGAGTAGAATTTTGGACTCTTTTCCAGCCAAGATGAAGAATGTTTTGACTATTACTGTACTTGTTAGCAGTCAATGTAGTAATTGCTTACTAAACAATACAATTTTAAGTAGGAGGAAACTGGAGCGTGTACCATGGCCACTGTTTTGGGTACCCAGCGAAATTCCGAGATCTCACGCGGTTACCACCCCCGCTCGAGAACCACGCCTACCGAGCAAAAAAATTCAAATAATTTGAAAATTTTGAATTCAAAAGCTCACAGCATAGTTAAATACAGGCCATCTCTTATCAAACCATAGAGCTGCTGGCGGCCTAGTGGTATCTTTTTGAGGATGCAAAAGTTTAAAAATACTGCTAAATAGTGGGGCGACCAGGGGTGGACTGATAAACCTATCTATATCTACTTCGAAAATTTTGAATTCAAAATTTGATTTCAAATTTGTCCGAATTTTTTCCGGAATTTCGTGGTTATCGTGGTAACCGCAAATTCCGGTGCCCCACGAGAAAAAAGGTCCGCTCGGGACCCAAAACCTTGACCATGGCCTTTCCGCCTCTGCCTTCGTCACCTTCCGGTCGGATGCCGATCATGTACAACATCTGCACCCACGCGACAGAGGTGGAATAGCTCACCGTCATCAGCGTGGTGGACGCCTATTCGTCATCAGCGTGAAGATGATGCAGGCGCACCTACAGGTCAGGGCAGAAGCAGAGCTCAGACCGCTGAGGCGCACACGTTGTCCGCCATGACGTGCCACGGCAGTAACACCGTGCAATCGTATTCTGTATTTCTGCTACGATTTGGTGACGGCGCGACCGTGGCCATAGTTCCGGTCGGACATAAGCATCTTGGCGACGGCGCGACCGTGGCCATAGTTCCGGGCGGACATGAGCATCTTGGCGATGGCGCGACTGTGGCCGTAGATCGAGGAGACGCAGTGGATGCACTCCAGTCCACGCAGTCCACACGTTGTCGGCTCTATGGCAGCGATGCCAACAACAGGTCCCTGTTGACGCACTGCGGCACCAAAAAGTCCAGAAACGTTATACTTTGAGAAAAGGTAGATGAACCGACGTAACTTTTAAATCAGCCAGACTAGCCTATGCCGACGGGCCCCGTAGGCGTATCTCGAGTGGTCCCGACGGCCTCATCTATGCCGATGGCCCCGTCGGCATAGATAGACGTACACCGACGACTTTTCTACACCTACGGCCTGTCCTAGGCCGTCGGGATAGGTCTATCTATGCCGACGGGGGCCGTCGGCATAGATGGGGCCGTCAACGTAAGCTGATTTTCTGGTAGTGATCACTCCTTGCAAAATATCCTCCGTCAAATCTACACCATCTGCCGGAAGCAGGGGAGCCAAAGAGCCCAAGATGCCAGAAAATTGCAAAATTGAAAATATTCATTCATTTGAAAAAGGTTCGCAGATTCAAAAATAAGTTCGCGAATTTGAAAAAAATCATAAATTTAATTAAAAATGAAAAAGAAAAGAGAAAAAGAAAAAGAAGAAGAAGAAATAACGAAAAATAAAACTGAAGAAAAAAGGCAAAAAAAACTAGACTGAGAAGATGCACAAGAAGAAGAATAAAAGAAGTACGCACAATAAGTGAGCTGTCCTAGTTGGTTATTGTGGGTAGAAGTAAACGAAGAGATTGGGAGTTTGAATCCTACCTCATGCACCTATTTTGTATGTGCCACACACGGAGGTGGGTATACTTTATTGTCAAATGATCTTACTGCGCTTATATAGTTTGTGAGGGGGAGGGGGAGGAGGATGTATACTTTATGGTCAAATGATCTTACCGCCCTTATGAGGGGGTACCGAAGCAAGACTCTAAAATGCAATCTTTGGGCTGCTGGTTGCTACTTAGCTTTGTTTACCCCGTACTTTTTATGCTTCAGTTATGAGGTTCTGAAACTTTTATGAATAACTATTTTGGCTGTTGTATAACATGGTTTCATTTATACAATGGAGCCGAGGAGCTCCCTGCCCGTTTGTCTAAAAATTTCTGTAACCACGAATATTCATTTAATTTGTTAGCCTTCCCCTCGATCCGAACTCTCGCGAAATGAAAACTAGAAATTGGGACAGATACCTGTTTAAACTTGTGCGACTTTTCTTCCTCAGTTCTCCTCCTTTTATTCTGATGAATACAAAGGGCGTGCTTAGCCGATCGAGGACCCACATTGCTCATGCCATCCCGCGAGCGGATCACGATCTCGCCCATTGTTCAAACCTGTGAGCTAATTGAACTTAATTTGTAACCCACTCACACTGCGTAGACACGGTGGTCTGACTGAATCAACAGGAAATGGAAGCTAGCTAGCGAAGAGGTACTCAGCTCACAAGTTCATCTCAACATAGTTTCTAAAGCTATATAAATGTTCTTCTGCAGGCCGGCTCACACCCGCGCGATCTTCATTTGCCCTTGTGCTCAATCTCCGGTGGTACGTCCACTGCATGCTCTTTGCCCCGTTCTACATGACCATCTTGCTCTGTCTCTGATGTTGTTTCCTCTATCTCTGATGTTGTTTCGGTGGAGTTGTTCTGTCCAACAACGGTCTCAGGCTGTCAGCATTATGGGCAGAGCTAGCTAGCTGCCCATCAAGGTAGTTACTAATTTACTACGCTATATTATGTACAAAGTTGAGTCACTTATTTTAGGACAGAGGGGGTAGTAATTATTAAAAGCTAAAAAAGCTTGGAAAAGGAGATCAATTAAGCAAGAAGCAACTATACACGGTCGAGCATAAGTAGAGCAATGGAGGAATTACCGTTGGTGACGAGGGTACTGCGGGTTGCAATGAGCCGAACATCACTCCTTGCAAAATATCCTCCGTCAAATCTACACCATCTGCCGGAAGCAGGGGAGCCCAAGATGCCACAAATGCTGTCGCTTCTTGTGTTTGCTGGAACTCAAAGGCGTAGAGATGCCTGGGTTGACGCCGTATCCAGTTACTTCCTTGGCACGGCACCAGTGCCTCCGCTGTAGGCATAGCAGAGTCATCAGATGCCACGAGGTCGACCTCCCTCCACCCCACATCCCCAGCACCATGATGCAGCATAAGCAACCAGACGACGGTGAGGAGCTCGAGCCCGTCGCTGAGCTGCCGCGCATGTAGCTCCACGGGGCACTTGGCAGCCGCGTAGATGAGCAGCCTCGCCCACACCTCCTTTATCACCCTCAACGATTCCGCAGAAGGAGGTAGCAGTTCGAAGGGAGACCTCGAGTAGGCCTCCTCGTTGTAGAGCTTTTCAGTTGCATACTTGTTTAGAATCTCTTGCTTTCTCATGGTATTGCTGCCTGTATTGTCTCTGACCCACTTGACGTAGAAGTGTTCAAGATCTTGCGCGGCGTTGCTCACCGGCAACAGGGAAGGGTAAACCGCCATCAGGTAAATAAGATACTGTGATAGCTTCCTGCACTCCGCCGCAAGCTGTGCCGTCTCCTCGTCTCCTGGTAAGTCTACCCTGCTCAAATGCATGTCTGTAAAGATGTGTAGACGGAAAAGGGCATGCTCGAAAGGAGCTCTCAACACATAGTTCATTTCCCGGCCAAGATTTAGCCGCTGGGATCCCACCCCAGAGCAGAGCAATGTCTCGATGTAGTTGCTCATCTCGTTGTCCACCTTGATGTGATGGACATGCCAAATATTTCTCCATTTTTTCTCCAGACCCAGTGCAGTGATGACCTTGGAGATGAGGCTGGGCATGCATTTCTCATAAATTGAGTAGTCTACAAGGTTAAATTGCCCCATGGACGGCTGCTGCTGCTGATTTGTCTGAAATCGTCGCATGACGGCGTTCCAAAGAGAGGAAGCACTGCAAGACAACCAATAGAGAAAGCTGCCTTTTTTCGATCCCGCCCTTGTCCAGACTGATACTATCACCATGGAGACTGAACAAGATTCCATAAACATGGCCCCAACAAACAATGTATAGGTGATGACGATATTGGCTCTGCTGTGGTGGGCATGCAACCTGGGGTTTGCCACGAAGAGCACAAAGGCCACCACCATGCACATCTCGGCAAAGCACCGGAGTATGCGACCGATCCGGCTTTGCAACACCACGGCCTTGGTGTAGAGGAGATCGTACATCATGCCAAGCTCCACCATGACGATCTTGAGCTTCCCTTCTCTCTGTCCATGCACTGCGAAATCACCCACCAGCTCCTTCTGACTCTCCCATCCCAGTTGGAACAATGTTCGTCCCACAAGCAATCCTCTGACACGGAGTACCGTGTTAAGAGCATAAGTTGCCATGACATCACCACAATGAGTACTTCTGTAATCCCGTCGCGGTTTCTCCTCCCTCTCGTAGCCACTACCGAGGTAGTCTCGGCTCCCGTTATAGAGTGCCCATGTCCTCTCCCCGTACTTGATTGTCCCAGCAACAAAAATTGGTATGGCAATGGCTAGCAGCTGCACTTCCAATTTCTCAAACGACTTCCACAAGACATACAAGGTTAGAGTGACTTGGAGCACCAGATTGAGCAAGTGCCGCAGCCACAGATTGTTGTCCTCGATGGAGAAGGCAGTGATGGTGTCCTGTCCTCCTAGGTGAAGGAGGAGAAAGGGTGCCCAAAGGAGCCGCAGCGTCTGATCCCCCGATGATTGCTCCCTTCTTAAATTATGTGTTTCCTCGGTAAAAAGGCCGATGGCGTAGATGGCAACAGGATCAGCACCCACGTATGCCAGCCAAATTATGGACCTAAGCAACCCACTGATTCTGCGCCTCCGGAGGTCACCGGTGAATAGCAGGAAGAGTTGCACCGTGAGGCTGGTGAGCACCGTCATCTGAATGTCCCGTTCCTTCCATACTTGCAACAGGGCCTTTGTAGATTCTGCCAAATCCATGTCTCCTGCAAGTTCCCCCAAAAAAGGAGTCGGGCTCTCCTGCTGGGATCCACTATCGTGCAGGGCCAACCAGCTGCCAACACGTGGCCTGGTGGACCCCGCCAATCAAACAACCAAGTCGTATCTCTCTAATTACAGAAAATCAGCAAAACAGCCTTTCTTTCTCCAGTGTATCGACAGATTGCCGCCAAAATTTCCAACAACCTTTCTTTTCTCTTTTCTTTTTTGCATGGAACATCCTTTCTCCTATCTATCTACTCCATTGTGGATCACACGATCAGGATCGGTAGAGAATTGCCCTCTCATGTGAACCAGCATCTAAGGTTTTCTTCGGCATGGAAGGAGCTCCCGTGACTTCATCATCCATAGGTTTGTTGGTGTGCCTTGAATCTGCAAATTATCAACACTCTCATCGTATGGAGGAGACAAGATTAAACAGAAACAAACGAAGAGCTTAATCTATGACATGCAAATTAATCCTTGAGACTTAGCTCCTTGTACTTCATCTTCCGTATATAGGTCTGTTTCTTGTGTCTTTTTTGCCAATTGTAATGATAGAGATTATTGTATCTAAGAAAAAGGCCAATGTTTTGCTAATGCTCCTATGTATACAGTGTGATATTCGGCAAAATATGTTGTCCCATCTTCAAGTGTTGTTCGGTTTTACTACAACAGGACTCTGAATATCGTGTGTTCTTTTACAAAAATGTGTCATCCATGAACTAATTAGTATATGATATTTTTATGTTGTGTATATCATGAGACCACAAATGTGGGAGAGGCAGGTCGAAACACAGATGATTATTACATAGAAGGTTAAAACCAGAGATAGGAATGGAATTTGAGAATGAATATATAGCATATAAGTTTTATAATGCATATGCAGGACATGTAAGTTTCAGTGTCAGGACATGTAGGTTTTATAATGCATAATGCAACCACAGGCAGACAACTACAATTTGCATGTACTTCCTCAGACTATGACACCAGCACCACAACCTGAGAAATGTAATTTGCAAGTATTGCATCATGGCCTGCCACAACTACCGCAGGCAGATGCTACAGCAGTTATTCGGCTTGCAACCACCACAACCATATTTCTGTTATGGCACTCAACCAAGACAGGTATATTCATTTAGTTAGTCGTTAAATATTAAGATGAACATGCATATGTCATTCACTTACACTAACTTTAAACCGTATGTAGAGTTCTGTATTGATATCGAACTCGGAATGGCCAGCATATCAAAATGACCAGCTGCCGACTAAGGTATTGTTTCACTTACAAGTCAGACTCTCAAATTCAAGTTTATTTCTCACACAAAATCGTTCCTTTCTTATTTCAGGACTTTGGTAGCCAATCAAGCCATGGACAAGATAGCACTTTTAAATAGCTCTATATAAACTTTGCTTCGCAGGATTGCTCCATAAAACAATTACGTCCCGATGTAAGTTTATCTTGCTATTCCTTTTGGCATGCGATGTATAACGGATTTATTCTAAATGGAGATATATAAGTGTACTGATTAGTTGCTGGTTATTTCTCCATGGTTCAATCCACAAGGATCTTTCACCAATTTGAGATTTCTGTGACTGTCGTGTGACTAAAAACAGAGAACATAGCTACATGAGGCTGCCTAGTTTGAAGTGATTGAAAGCTAGTTTAATCTCAAATTAACGGTTATCTTAGCAATATACTAGTAGTAACTAATTGGATAGCCCCTGTACTAGTTTGAAGCCATCAAAAGCTAGCTACTAGTACAGGATATATAGATGAAGAAATCAGCTAGCGCTACCTCTGTCCGACGAGTGTGCATCGGGCTCCCGTCTTGATGTACGCCTGCACGACCTCCTGCGGCATCCCGGCGAAGCAGCGCTGAACCCAGCCGGCCGCACGCCCTGCAGTTCCCCACCTTCTCCAAGGGATCTGGTCGGTCCAGGAGGGGAACTGCGGCATGCGAGAGCAGCTGCTCCAGCCTTGGCTGGGGCTTGGGCGCGCCGGAGTCCGGCAGCGGCAGCTCCCTCTGTCGCTCGCCACGACCACGACCCTGGAGCGCCCAGCGCCGGACAGCTGACCTCACTTTCTGGAACCCTCTCTCTCACGGAGCTCAGCTCAGTGGAATAATGGTACTAGCTCGAAGCGTCCGCGGCGGAAAAGACAAGGTAAAGGACATTTTAGAAAATAAACAAAACAAAATCTATTTACTAAGTGGTGCGGTCCACGGGAACATGTGTTGCTCAACGATTGGCCCTTCACATAGTGCGTGCAGGGCTCCCAGCAGGAGAGCCGAACCCCCAAAAGAATAGTTTAGCATCATGTACTAGAGTGCTCTAATCAAGGGGATAGGTAAACAGGGGATAATTAACTCCGTCTTATCCTGCTAATCTCTTAGAAATACCAAAAGGAGTTCGGTAACGTCTCCATCTTTCTGGCCAAGTGGATTATAAAACTATCTGAATGGAGCATCATTTGTACTAGAGGGTGACGCGCGCCGTGCTTCAATCATGTGCTAGTTTATATACAACCTTCTATAGTGGCATTGAGTCATATGCAAGTACTGCTCCACCATAGGAAATACTCTAGTATTTATAGTGCCATCTTATATTATAGGACGGTTGTATAATGTTATTAAACTGATATTTCAGTACCATCTTATATTATAGAACGGAGGAAGCAGTAAGGCATGAGAGTGATTAAAAGGAGATGTGGTGATTCAAACATAGTAAATATATATAGAACTCTCCTCATGTCATCCATGAAACACTCTCTTGTGACACCATGGTCCATGTATGTTTGAAAAGAAAAGATGAAAAAAGGTCTAGTGATGATTATTACGGGTGCAAAGCCGACAGCTAAGCATAGCAGCGAGTGAAGAAAAATGCAACAACATCAAGTGGCGCCCATTAAGCCCTTCTGCATGGAGAGGCTCCATGTCAGGGCCCCTGAATTTCTTCAGCGGGTGAACCTCGGAGTAGGGCATACTGCTCAATTGATGCTTACAAATCAAAAGAAGCCCCAATTGATGTTTACCAAGAACACAATATGAATATTAGCAAGTACATGAAAAATCATCATTGTTCATCGAAGCAAGGAGGGGAAAACCTCGTTATCGGTAGTCGCAACAAATAATGCCGCTCCATGACCACCGTGTCGTATTTGGCTACCCATGCTTTACTATCATAGTACCTCGTACATGGCATCTATGAGCATAGAAAAGATACCCATGCAAAGCAAGCAGTTCAAAGCAAAGTTTTAGCTAAATTACCTGCAAAAGCATTTTATTAGGTTCGGAATGAAAAGAAACTTATGCTAGCAATGGAAATAACACGCTACAAACTAAGGTATTATAATATCACCATATTTGTTAGCTACCAAATTATTCTGCATTATGAGATAAGAAAAATGATGAAAGAAAAGAGGAGGAAAAGAACAACCAACCAGACTGTTTAAAGGGCTTCAAATTCTTATTATGTTTCAAAAACTATTTTCATTCAAGTAGAACAGAGAAATTTGTTTGAGGGGTAGCCTTAACATTTTTTTAGTGAAAAGGCATGTGTACTGCCATTGCATTTCAGGAGAGAAGCAATAAGTTTCAGTTACAGAGGTAGGGATTTGGGCTCCCTAGGGCTCAGGTTCCGGCTCGTTTTCACCAAAGACGCTCCAGGTGATGCGAGCACTGGCCGTAGCCACCTCCTGGTTGAGCAAGCAGAACACTTGGTCTGCGTTACAGGTTGAGTTGTCGAAGACCCTTCGGTTGCATTCCTTCCATATGTCCTAGCAACCATAAATTTCCACTGCGAGATGGTGAGGAGGTAGGCCGCATGCCTTGGCTTGCCACCAAGTCGACCGAGAGGCACTGTGGTCCAGAGGCAGGATGAGCGCTGGCTGGGCAAGCCAATCTGCGATTAGGAACCAAACCTCGCGCACAGGTGCAGTGCAGCAGAAGGTGGGCGTGTGACTCTATCACCTGGTCACAGAGGTTGCAGGCACCATTGTTTGGCAGTCCACGTTTCTGCAGGTTGTCATTTGTTAGGATCCTCTCATTCAGCCATAACCAAATGAAAAATCTGCACTTAGGCTCCACTTTGGCGGACCAGATCTTGAAATTGATTGATGTGTACGCACCAATGAACTGTTACAGGTAAGCAGATTTTACTGGGTACACAGAGTCTGGAGCTAATCGCAAGATAATTGTATCCTCTTCATTTGACAACTGCACATCACGGATAAGTAGCCAAAGGTCAACGAACTGACGTAGCTGAACCTCCAAAGAGATACATTGAAACATAATCGCATTAGGTTCTCAAGAATATTCTATTCAAGCAAATGTTCTAGAATGAAATAACCTTACTTTCTTTCAATCGAAGTCCATGATGAATGAGGCCACTGGATGATAGTGCCCTTTTTAGTGGCATGCGACAAAGACATGTCATACTGCTTGTTGATGCATAACTACAAATGAAATGGGTAAAAGCAGGGATTGTGAAGTTGGTAAAAGAAGCAAGAGCCTAAAACTAAAAGATTATGATAATAGTTCGATAATCAATATTAAGCTATATTTCTTTTAGAGCTGATTGGAAGAAATGAGCTGGACCAATGGGAGTTTGTGAGATATAGAGAGAAAACATTGCAGGTGCACTATATAAAGTATATTGACGAAAATAATGTTGTTACATCATGCTCTCAACTTCCTTCCGCACCACAACATCAGTAAAACAGGCTACTCAATGACGATGTGCATTGGTGTTTGCACTTTGCAGACGCAGCATACATATTTTTCAGACTAAAAATGCAATATATAACGTAACATAATAGAGAGAAATAATAAACAAGTCTTGATTTTAAAAATATACTATAAAGTAACACAACAGGAAGAAGAGGAGATGGAAAAGGAACCAAATAATATGTATCCAACAGAAGCTAACACGTACGACCGTACCACCGTTCATTCAAGTTCCCTCTTTCTGTTGATTCCTCATTGCATTTTGAGCCATCAAGC